TCGTCGTTCTTCTTTGGTCGCCGGTGTTATTGTAGTCTTTGTTGTTGTTGCTTGGTGGTTATGGTGGTGTTGTTGCTTGGTGGTTATGGTGTTGTTGTTGGTGGCGGTGGTAGGGGTTGAAAGAGGAGAGGAGGGATGAGGAGAGGAAAAGAGGAGGGATGAGGAGAGAGAAAGAGAAAAAAGAGAAGACGAGAGAAGGGGCGGCTAGAGGGGATGAGGAGAGAGAAAGAGAAGAAAGGAAAGGAGGAAGGTTGAGGAGAGAGAAAGAAGAGGAAAGAAAAGTGAGGGAAAAAAGGGGAGGATAGAAGAGGGTTAGGGTTAGAAATTACATAAATATTTTTTTTTCCTTTTTTTTAAAGTACATGTTCTGACGGATTTATCCGTCGGAAATGACCTTCTCCGACGGAATATTCCGTCGGAATGTCCAATTATTCCAACGGATTTATTTTCCGTCGGAAATTTCCGACGAAATTTTTTAATTCGTCGGAATTATCAGACGGAAATTAAATCCGTCGAAAATATCTATTTTTCCGACGGATTTTCAGGTCCGTCGGAACTGATCCGTCGTTATTTGACCTGATTCTTGTAGTGAATGATGTGTCAACTTCATCATACGAGGAGAAGCAAAAATCTGAAAAAAAAAATTGGGGCAAAAAAATCAAGTCAGCATCATCATCGAGTGAAAAAGAAAAAAATTGGGGAAACAAAATTTGGGGAAAAAAAAGGGAAAGAAAATGAATTCAGAGGAGAAGAATGCATACAAAATTTGGGGGGAAAAAACAGAAAAGTAAATTCAGAGGAGAAGAATGCATGTCTCCATACCAAAGAAGTAATGCTGACGTTGACAAAGACAAACAACAAAACGGTACATGTCCCCTCCAATACGCAACATAAGCAAAGTAACAACTAACATTGCCACATCAAAAAGTCATCACACATGTCACTCATACATGTGAGCACTATTCATAAGGGGAACAAGTGAAACATTTTAAGGGTTGTAAATGTGTTAATTATGTGCAATATATATATAAATTCACGTAATTTGTTAATGAACTAATTTCATGTAATTTGTAATTGGTTGTTGTAATAAGTAGCTAAGGTCGAATTCACATTGAGATGTCTATTCAATCCGTTTATCTATCATAAATAATTCAATTAATCAATTAAATAGAGTAATTGGTAAGCTTACATTCGGGTGTTAATGCTTTTATTTCAGCTAAATGTTTGTTCAAATTCTTCATTCAACTTTCAAATCCTTAAAATAAACTACTTAATCATTAAATAAATAACTTAACTTAGATTTAAGAAAAATAAAACTCATAATTTATTGATTAATTGAATTGTTTATGATAAATCTAAGAATTTAACCCAAAAATCATATGGGTTGAGAAACTATATATAATTCAATAGAAAACTATGCTAATAATAATACAATGGAGTATTTATAATATTATTCTAAATTCTAATATCAAAATAAATTATTAAGATAAGACAATAAAATTAAAATTTCAATAGTCATCTAATGATTTGATTATACTCATCCATCACTTGATAGATTTTCAATGGCTAGATCATAAATCATACTCTACCAAAATAATTTTAGTACAAGTAAATAATAAAAAGATTAATTAGTGTTATAAAAAATAAAACTAAAATTTAAGGTCTCTTCACGGGCAAGCCCGACCCGTTTAATAAGCGGGCATGAAAAAAGTATCAAGGCCACATAAAAGGGTTCGGGTTTGCTACATAAAGCCCATTAAATATAAAAAATAAGCATAGGCTTAGCCCGCTACCAACTCAAGCTTGCAAATGATCACCTCTACCTTATACCAACCCCCTAAGGCCCTAAGTATAGAAATTAAGGGATAAGAGGAGTTTTAATTCTTGTCCCATTATCCTTTCTAATTCCAAAACCTATCCCTATAAACAAACATGGAATTATTATATCCATTTCCCAAAATCCCTATCCCTCTAAGGCTCTAAACAAATAGGTTTTCTATTTTCTTACTGTTGTGACCAATGATTCATTGATCCTATCCTATTTTTCATTCCCTATCTAACCTTATTTTTTTTATTCTTCATTCTCATATAATATCATGGGCCAATTCCTAATTATATGGGCCAAATCAATGAAGTATTGCAACCAACATAGGATGAAATTGGATCCTAAACTAAGTTAGAGCATTTACAATATATAGTTACATTCTTTGTAGTTTTGGGTTGCCACATCATTATTTTCCAAACTACATCATTTAAATTATAACATTCACAATAACAAACTACTCTGTACTACCTTTTGACAAAAAAGAAATGCAAAAAAGAAATCACATGATCTAGGATAAGTGAGGCTATATAGTTTCACTAATGCTAAAACCTTTGTACGTAGCTCCATAATGATGTACTACTAGCTCCAACTACATACTACCTCCATTAATAGTTATGTGCAACTTTGAGAGGGTTTGCGGTTCACGAAGCAAAATTTGATAATGGTGATTAATGTATTCTAGGGGTATGTAATTAAGGTGGAGAGAGAATGTTTAGATAATTAATCAACCATCCACTGCCACCACCAAGATCAGCCAACACCGTCCACTGCCACCACCAACACCAGCCAACATTCCAACACCACCAACACCGCCTTCACCAACACCACCATCGAGGCACCGCCTTCACCAACACCACCACTGCCTTCAATGCCGGCTTCACCACCACCACTACCAACCCCCACGAAACCACCACCACTACTAACCCCACGATTCCCATCTATGCAAAACCCACCAGTCCCACGACCCACCAGCCCATAGATCCGACGGAAACCACACCATCATTCTCACGAAATCACCCCCAGCCCCACGAAACCACCACAAAACCCCCCGCGAAACCACCACCAGCCCATCCGACGAAAACCACCACCACCATTCTCATGAAAACCCCACAAACCACCACAAAACCACCACCAGACCCACGAAACCCCCATGAAACCACCACCACTATTCTCACGAAACCACCACCAGCCCCACAAAACCCCCATGAAACCACCACCACCATTCTCACGAAACCCCCATGAAACCACCACCACCATTCTCACGAAACCCCCCTATAGATCCGACGGAAACCCACTAAGAAATCATCACCACGAATTCAAAAAACCCATCACGAATTCAATTTCTTGAAAGTTGAAGAGAGAGAGAGAGAAAATTTTAAAAGATAAAGAGAAATAATGATATGGAAAGAGGAGAGAGAAAGTATGGGGGAAGATGAAGATGAATGAAGATGAAGGTGGTTTTGGGTTTCTTGAGTTGAAGATGAAGAGTTGATGAATTAAATTGGGTTGGTTGGGGTAAAAATTGGGTGAGAAATTAGTGTATAATTAAATCTGATTATAGTTAGTAAATTGCGTTTTAATTTTTCGGCTATTTCACTAAATGCCACTGAACAATTTAAAAATTCACCAAATGTCATCGGACTTTTCAGAATTCACCAAATGCCACCCAGTTTTATAAAAATTCACAAAGTGCCATTATTGTCTAATGGAGTTAACTCCGTTAATAACTAGGGCTTAATCATGACACATGTGGACACGTGTCAGTCAGCTATTGGTTTTAAAAAAAGTAAATAAAATTAAAAAAAAATTAAAAAAAACTCTAAATCTTAACCCAAACCAGCCCCCACTACCATAACCACCACCCAAAGCCAACCAACAACCCAAAGACAACCGCCGGAATCCCCTAACCTCCCGTCGAAATCCGCTGGAACCCCCTAACCTCCCTCTTGAACCCATTGACCCCACCAAAGCCACTAACTCCACTTAATCCCCCTTTCCTCCTCCCGATAAATCACCCCATCCACCGCAAGTCTGCAACCGTCTCACGCAATGTCCAGTTTCCCACAATTCCGCACTGCCCGACGACTCTAGCACCTTGACGACGACCTACAGAACTTTGCCTTCCCGACACCCCCGCTGTGATCCCCACCCCAGCCCCGAACCACCTCACGCACCAACACGACGCATCACCATAGCCACCGAAATCGACCAATGGAAACCCAAAATTGAACTCGACTATGGAAACCCTTCACCCTCAAACGGTCGAAATCGACCATGGAAATCCAGAATGGTCGATTTCGTCGTTTCAAGAGTGGAGGATATGAGTGGTTTTGCGCGGTGGTCATGCTGTTGTCAAAGCTCGTGCTCGCTGTTGGTTTTTAGGGTTGAGGCAGTTTGTGTGGGTGGTTTTGGGGGTCGGCGGTGGGTTCGGTGGGGGTGTTAAAGGGCCGACCGGCCGGTATTTGGTGGTTAATGTGGTGGCCGGCCATTTTCCGGCAAGATAAGGGGAGTAACTAGGGTTTGGCGGTGGTGGGGGTGGCTAGGAAAATTTTGGGGTTTTTGTTTTTAATTTTTTGTTTTTTTTTTTAATTTTTATGAATTAAGATAAATTGACCAATTATATCATGACATGTGTCATGATTAACCCCTAATGACTAACGGAGTTAACGGCCGTTGGTCATTAATGGCACTAAGTGAATTTTTATAAAACTGGGTGGCATTTGGTGAATTTTGAAAAGTCCGATGGCATTTGGTGAATTTTTAAAGTGCTCAGTAGCATTTGGTGAAATAGCCGTTAATTTTTAAAATGAGGATAAAATTGACATTTGACTATTTTTTTTTAATAAAAGAGGAAAGAAATTTTTTAGTTGCACGTAATGTTTAGCGGACAAAAATAGTAAAAGTTGCACAAAATAATTAACGGAGGTAGTATTATATTTAAAAATTACAAACAAGGACTTATCATAATTATTGTGGATGCTTTTAGCATAACCCAATTTCAAACTCAAACAACACAAAACTAAACCAACCAAAAAGTCCATGAAGGACCATGACCATGAGTCCATGACCCTTTATGATAGAGGATTGGGCCTTTCTTACATAAACAAAATTAAGAGTATCAAATCCATAAATCCATTAAATTGTCACTACTCCCTACTTCATGATTGAAATTGCTACAAATCTAGTCAAATTATATGGACCCAAAAATAAAATAAAAAAAAAAGTACCCGCCAACAAAAATTCCTATTCACATTCACACCTATTCATCCTCGTGGTAAAGGTAAAAATTAAAAAAAAGAAAATCATATAAATAAATAAAAAAAGGCGCAAAAGAAAAAAAATAAAAATAATTAAAGAATAAAAAGAGTGGGAGCCAAAATTAAAGAAGATGCGAACTCCATTAAACCAACGTGCCCTGCACTGTCCACTTCTTCTCCTTCTTTCTTTTATTTTCATCTCTTTTTTCTTCTTCTTCCTTAATTATTGTTCTTAATCTTAATTAATTTATGTTTTTTGGGTTAATTAATTTCATTCTTTACTCAATCATCCTCATCATTATCATTTTAGTTGCCAAAATAAATTCAATAACCAATTGAATTTCACAAAGGTATATTTTCTTCATTTTCCTTTTTTTTTTTTTGATTTTTTTGTGTTTGATGAAGAAATTAAACCCCATAATTTAATTTTACAGAATAGAGAAAACCCAGAAAAAAAAAACGAAAATGTTGACGTGCATAGCTCGTCCAAAGCATCAACAAGGTCATCATAACTCAGTTAGTCATCATCATCAACACGACGATCCTGACTCAATTCACACTCCTAACAGTAAACAAGCCATTAAAACCTTAACTTCTCAGGTAATTCCAAACATATTATTTTTCCCATTTTTAATGTAATTTTATTTTGACATAATAATAATTTGATTTTTTTATTATTCATGTAGATCAAAGGAATAGCATTGAAGGCATCAGGAGCATACAAATGCAACCCATGTTCACACCCGAACTCAACCGGTGCACCCGGGTCAGGTCCGGGTCAACTCAAGAAATACGCCGAATCAGAAACCGGGTCGGGTTCCGGGTCTGGGTCAGAGAAGTTAAAGCCACCAAGGGCGTTTAAGAGGACATTGAGTGCAAACTCGTCGTCTTCGGCGGCGACGCCGAGGTGGGGGAAAGAGATGGAAGCTCGGTTGAAGGGGTTGTCGGTTGGCGGCGAGGTAACGCCGGTAATGTCGGTGTCAGCGAGTGGGCGGCGGGTTGACCCGGTTGTGTTGGTCGAGGAAGATGAACCCAAAGAGTGGGTGGCTCAGGTGGAGCCTGGGGTGTTGATCACATTTGTTTCTTTGCCACGTGGCGGGAATGATCTTAAGCGTATTCGATTCAAGTGAGTTTAATTTCTTCTTTAATTTACTACCTCCATTTTATAATATTTGCAAAGATTACACATTTACATTACATCTTTACAAATAATATAAAACGGAGGTAGTACTTTTTATTGTTTTGATTGCATTTTTGTGACGGTCGTGTTTGATTTTGAATACAAGTTACAAATGGGGGTGGTGGAGTTGGGGATATTTGAACCTGTGACCTATTCGTATTATACACGGGTTTATGTGTTGAGCTATTAACCACTCAGTCAAGATATCATTAGTTTATTAGTTTTGGTGATTTTCATTACGGAGTATTTATATATACCACGTACATTTGCTTTGATTAAGAATTTGTTAAATAAAGTGGAGAATGTATCTTATTTGGCTGATATAAATACAACAAACATAAGTTAGTTGGTTGTTGCTGAAATTGGATAAAGAGAGGAAACAAAAGTCTTATTAGAATTGTCTTTGAATTAAAAAAAGTCTTAAATAATTATGTTTCAATTATAGTATTAATTCGGGGCATTTTTAAATTCAAACATGATACATCATCGAGTGATTCAAGTCTTGTGAAAAGGACTAATCTCCATTTCAACCATTGGAGTTTCGCTCTCTCTCTCTCTCTTTTTTTTTTTTTTATATATATATTTTATTATTATGGAGTATAAGAAATTTGATTGTCGCTTATTTGAACTTTGTTTTTTTATTTCTCCTTACAAAAATAAGGTGTGTAGAACAAACCCAGGTGTCGATTAAAATATTTACAGAACAATAGTCTTGAACAATGAAACCTTTACATTAATGACTGATACGAGCATTGATTAATGTTTTGTTAAGATTACTTAAGTAAGTAATTAAAGTCCATAATGGATTTTGATTTTACCTAGAAATTGGTTGGTAAAATAGGCTGTGTTTGGTTTCACTGATTGTTGGTACACTATTATACTCCCATATATTGCGGGTTCCTTAATGTGAAATGGACCGTTGCTATGATTTTTATATGAAAAAGCTTAGTACTGTAATACTCTTACATTTGATGATTAGTTTGATCATAGAGTATCTACATTTAGCATATAAAGCTTATAGAATAAAGAATTGGTATTGGTTGCTTGTACACTAAACTACTAAAGCGATTGTGTTTCTTTGATCATTGATGAGATCATAGAAAAAAAAATGTTTGGTGTAGACTATGCATATTTTAATAATGTATAATACTTATCTATTACCTAATTCATGGTCAATAATGTTGTACTGTTCTTTAATGAAATTTATTATCTTGAGCAAATCTTACGGAGATATAATAGAGAATTCCGGTGATACAAGATAGGTAGTACTCTGATCCATATATTTAGCGTTACAATTGATAACGACACTTGTTAAAAAAACCAAGATATGAGGTAATGAGACTAATGACTTTGTTATGGTTGCCTTGCAATAGGAAATAATTGTAAGTAACCATAACCATAACAATAACCATAACCATAACTTCAAAGTTTGCGGTTGCATTGTCTTTAGAATCTTATGTCTCACTTTTTTGTGCTATGATTTGTTACTCTTAGCTTGCTTTTAAATGTTGACTTATGATTATGATTTTTTTTTTTTTTTTTCTATAACACTATTTGATCTAAAGGGGTAAAAATAGGAAAATTTTGCCCTCCAATTGAGAAAAGCTTGGGAATTTGTTGATAAAAGAGGGGGAAATGGATAATCCTTTTCCATTTAGATGAACAAATTACGCTTAGTTTCTAAAAGGAGTAAACTATGTTTCTTAGTTTCAAAAGGGAGGAAAAAAATGTCAAATCACTTTCATTCATAATGTCATTTAGATTATACAAAGTATGTTATTTAGGTTGAAAAGAAGAAAAGTTGAAATTGACGGATATTCGGAACATTTTTGGTCATGTCCTCTTTACTAGTGCACTACGGTATACAATTGAGTTGCAACTATGGGGTATTCTTTGTATTGATTATTGAGTATAAGGTTTAAGGATTCATTGTGCTTTTGTGTCTTATCATTAATCATTCACAAAGTGTTATAGTTAATTCAAAAGGGTAATTCACATTATCCACATATATTAATTCCTTGCTCTTTGATCAAAATGAAGTAAAAACATAGAGAAAGTGAAGATGCTTTATTTAGAAGAAATTAGAGTTCTTTATTTGGGTTAGTGTACCCATTTACCCTTTAATAACAAAACTTGCTTGATTACAATTCTTTATTTGGGTTAGTGTACCCATTTACCCTTTAATAACAAAACTTGTTTGATTACAAGAGAGATTAAAATTTAAAATCACTTTTTTGACTAATGGTATTCCTGTCCCAAACAAAGCCTTAAGATTTAGGAGACAATTCTGTCTTGTATAAATGATTAATGACAACTTACAGTAAAATCTACTCTTTTGCCCTATAATAAAGTTAAAATAAAAAATAGTAATTCAACAACAAAATTAAAAAAAAAAAAATAGGTCCAAAAAGATGAATTAATTGTAGGACTGTTTGCTTAGTGGGCCAATTTGATTTTGTGTTGCATGAACTTTTATTATGCACAATGTCGATATGTCGGATGTGGGGTCACTCTCTTTTCTTTCTTTCTTTTTTTTTTTGGGTTTTCAAAGCTTCTTTCACGCCAAGGTTGAGTTTATCTTTGTCAGTTTGTACTAATTTTTCTGTCCTTTTATCATGCAAAGTACCATAAAATAAAGCCATGAAAATATGACATATAACACCCCTAAAATCCATTTTCTTGTAAATCATGGGTGCGCATGGTCATGGTTACATTGGACGTATGTTATAGAATTTGTCATGAATATATGATTGAGGGATATATAATTGGCATTATGTTCTATTCTTGGCTTTGACTATTATTGTTCTACACATGTACGTGTTTAAGTGTTGGGTCCCGACCGACCGTCTTGTTGTTGTCATTAGTATAATTTTCAATTTTGTGTGTGAATCAAATGTCTTTTGTGACTATTATTGTCTATACGGCTTACGTTAAGAGTGTTAAGTGGTGTGGCATTGTATTTAAATAAAATAAAAGGATAATAGAAAGAAGTTGGGGTGATAGAGTAGTGACATACTGACATCTTTCTCCACCTCATAATTCAAAAAAACATCACGGGGCACATTTGCCCCTTTCTTCCCTCCGTAGGTGGTCCTTAAGCCTTACCAAATAAAAATTGTTGCCTTACATCTTTATTCATTGACTCAGTTAATTTATGTTGTTCATACTCCTTTCCATTCATATTACAATTATGGTAAAAGATAATTAGCGGGTGGCTATGGGCCCGAGACAAATTATGGAGCAAAATTTTTTAAAAGAATGTGGATATCATAACTTCATAACCTAGTCTGGTAGCCATCAATCATCCCAATTATCAAGTTGAGAAAACCATTTAACTCTTATAATCACAACAAATTAACTACTGTAGATGGCCAAAGCAAAATATTGTAAAAAGTTGTCATATTTAGAAGACTTGATTAGATTTGTTTGGCATCTATTGATTAAAAAAATTATCAATGTTATCACTATTGGGAAATTATATTGTTTCCCATGCCCAGATGTCATGGCTGGGGCCATTAATCCCTTGAAATAAGGACAATATGACTTTGTCAAAAGTTGTTAGGTGATCATTTTAGTGGACTAAACCATTACTAGTGAAAAGATTATATTCATGATTGCTTCTAAATTATGGCACTAAGCATGTGTAAAAAGTGATGTAAAATTGTAATAATTTACTTAACAGTTACTTGTAACTATATTACTGTAGTAGAATATTTTCCAACCTGTGGTGCAGGGTTCAATTCTCACTAAAGAAAGAAAGGGATTGGGGCTTTGGGCTTGCGATTTATGTTACTCAGTCTTGGGTACTCGTGTTAGATATGAGTAGTGTCATAATATGCTACTTCATGGAAAAAAAAAAAACCCGCGTTTTGTGTCTGAAGTGAAGAGTTTAGTGTCCATACGTGTAACAGTGTCAAGGGTCTGATACAAGTATTGAAGTATGTCCCTAAGGTGAATAGAACAGTCCAAGTAAATGAGTACCATTGCTTGCTATAGGCTTTGCTCCATGCTCATTTCACCAAATAAATAATGTATTATGAAACTTTAATCCTTGCATTTGGGTAAGCCACTACTTACCGTGGAATGAATGGTGGGGATTCATCGGTGTAATTCCAGAAGTCATAGTAACATTATTAGTTACCTGAGCCAATCCAATATTATTGTTTTTGTTTATGCTTTCATATTTCACGGTTTCTAACTATGAACTCATGAATTCTTATTCTTTGTGTTCTTTGATTAGCCGAGATATGTTCAACAAATGGCAAGCCCAAAAATGGTGGACAGATAACTACGAGAAGATCATGGAACTGTACAATGTCCAAAGACTTAGTCGTAATGCATTTCCACTTCCAACTCCCCCAAGATCAGAAGATGAGAATAGCTCTATGGTATGCCATCCCACTCTCTGCTGTTATAGTATAATATCATGTCATTGTTGCTATACAAAGTATTAGGAGTTGCATGATTTCAGATGTTTACGAGCTGTTGGTACAAAGATGGGGAAAATTGAATAACAAGTGATGTATGTTTTCTTAGATGCATTATGGACTTATATTAACCACATCCTTGATTTATGGCTATACTTATATATGGAAACAGCATTTTAGAGAAACATAATTGCAAAGGTACTTTTAAGCAAAAGAAACCCCTAAAGTAGAAAAGTAAGGTTACTATAGCTAATTATCCCCCCCCCCCCTTTCCCCAAAATTTGACAAACTTGTAGCTCCCAATTTCCTTTTGCTTGGCATTCTTGTCTTTTTTGTTTCCGCGACTCTTTTTTTTCTCCATTTCTCACCTCCCACACACACACACACACATAAATAAATAAATAAATAAATAAAATTGTTCATCAAATCAGTGATTTGAATTGAAATATATATTACAATTGTCTTCTTCTTCTTTGATCATCACCTTTTATAAAAGTACTATACTACTATGAGCCTAAATGTCACAAATAAATTAACAAGGTGGTTTAATTTTGCTATGGCACTTTTTTCAAACAAAGTGAACATCAGTTAGCAAAAACACTTGACATAGTAAATGATAAGTAGATATTAATATGTTCACTTGCCAATATTTTGACATCTACTTTTATTTTAACAGAACTCAAAAATGATGGAGTCATCAATTGGGGACAGTCCTGTTACACCACCGTTAAGCAAAGAAAGCCTACCACGCAACCTATACCGTGGAATGAACATGGGTATGGGATACTCATCCTCAGATTCTTTCGAGCAACACTCAAAGCAATCACGCCAATACGAATCAAGTGGCCTCGCCTCAACACCTAAACACTCCAACATCAGTGGAGTTACAGCTAAGACAGAACTATCTTCTATGGATGAGTCATTAAGATCGACCTCTTCCAGAGAAGGAGATCGATCTGGAGAATTGTCAATCAGCAATGCCAGTGACATGGAGTCTGAGTGGGTAGAAGAGGATGAGCCAGGAGTTTACATCACTATTAGAGCGTTGCCTGGGGGGCGAAGGGAGCTTAGACGCGTTAGATTCAGGTAAACATTTTCAACTTGCATTATATGCTTCCTAATTTATTAAAAATTTATACAGTAATTTTACTTCTAGGGAAAATGAGTAAAGTTATAGCATAAACACCAAGCTCTTCATTTTAGTTCTCCATGCTTAGTAGCAATACTTTTTCGTGGTTACTTAAGTCTGAACCCAAAACAATTTTGATCAGCGGATTATTTTATTGTGAAATTGGCTAAAAGGCTGAAGCATAACTAATCATTCAACCTTGTTACAAATGAGATGAGTTTCTTGGAAGTCCCCTTATTTTTTCTTTTTTTTTTTTAAACATACTCCAAGAATGCTAGAATGTGAGTGTAGTTTGTCTCTTCCGAAACACTGATTGTTTCTAAAGTTTGCAGTCACTAAATCATTGAGATGGTGTTATAAATCGGGTGACCTCCTTATTTCCTGAGGTAGTTGAGAGCCATGAATTTAGTGTCATTGGATAGGCACTTATATCTTGTGTTTTTAGTTGACATTGAAAGAAAATGATAGTACACATAAACATGGCAGTCCCACATTATAAATGCGATGTCCAAATAAATATAAGCCTCAACGGAAATGGAAAAAGACGATAGAAGAAAACTTAAGCTCACATGGACCACATCATATATGTCTGATATCTGCCTCTTACTTTGGAAAGTTCAAGTTAAAACTCATTGGTGCAATCAATCTATGGATGTCTAAAGCTGGAAAGTGAGTTTTCATTAGGAAAGTGAGGATTTCTTCTTGCGAAATTCTCCCATTAGTGTTTAACCATTGAAAAGGAAATGCTAGATCTACCCATCCAAGATCTTAAAGATGGCTTGTGGATCATAATGGACGAAATGCAAATGTCATAAACTATATGGGTTTCTGATTTATTGTGAAGTAGCTTATATAGTGTGATTCAACATGATATCGAATTGGGTGAGTGTCTTTTTAAAGGCATTTACACATTAGGGTAATAGTGCTATACATTTATCCCTGAAATTATTGAAACAAACCCTTTCATTCGTTTTATCTACATTTTGGCATAGAAGTAGCGATATTTTGTTTTGTAGGATCGGATTTGTGTAGATTCTGCTTAATTCTAGCTTTTCTGTGCACTCCAATTCTTGGAATATATTTATGTGAATTTGTGATTAAACTGAATTTTTCATGCAATGCAGTCGAGAAAAATTTGGAGAGATGCATGCTAGAGTTTGGTGGGAAGAAAATAGAGCTCGTATACACGAACAATACTTGTGATCAGAAAGAACAAGTGGGAGGAACTGTGAGTATTGATGGATGAATTGAAGAAGCAAGTCGTGTCTAGAGTACATTCTTTATATGTTACTACCTCAGTATAAATACCTAAAGGATGCCTTACTGCCTTATTAGATAAATTGCTATGAAGATCAAGGTGTATGCTGCATTTATTTAAATTCAGAAGTTCAGAAGGCATTCCATTCGCCGTTTTTTCAATTTTTGGTTCTTTTTGTTTCTTCTTGTTTTGGTGACATATGATGTATCAACTGGTATAAGGTAATACTAGTGAGTAAAGTTTAGAGGGCTTAGACCTTGAGTGTTGACAAGCTGATGTGAAAAACAGGCAAAATCATGTCAATGGCAAGTTCTTCCAAGGCATAAAGGGAAGGAGATGTAATTTCAATTTGGTATATCAAATTTTACAAGGAAACCCAGTAAATAGAAAGTTTGCTCCCTTTCAATTCCTACACACTTGATATCAAGGAAAAATTCACCAGAGGAATTCTTGTTATGTTTCAACTCGGAAAAAACAAGTTCAAGTCAAGATTGTTTTAAATAAGGGCTACTCAAGTATAATTCAATCATTTGAAATTTCAACGAGTTCGTAAAATTTCAATTAGGCGTGGAGCAACACTAGTTCCAAATTATCGGAGTAATCGGACAATGTATAAGAGGTGCCAAAGTGATCATTTATTCACCACAACATATATTGTACATAGTTATGAAGTCTTAATCAGGTGTCAATAATGTCACCACAACATTCAGCATGTAGCAAATTAAAATGTGGAGTTGAGAGATTATTGGCAAAAAGACAAATGCATTAGCCACGAGTAAATAAATTGATCAGAAGCCATAAGTTGGAAAAAGGCCTAATGTTTAATAACGGGAAAAAAAAAAAAAAACATGTATACTCCATGCATGACTAAGATTTCGAATGAGTTGTGGGTTGATGCAGAGGTTGACATAGTAGTACATGGTTTACTACGTATGAATGAATCAAGTCAAGAAGTGAAGTGTTGATAAGATCATCATATTTATCGACAAAGGAGAACTACGTAACATCCACATTGGAGGGAAAAAATAAGCTCCCCATTTGACAAAATATGAAAATGGGGACCTTTCCACCAATGTTACTGCTTTGCGAAGCCAGGAATTGAAATATGGGGAGACCAAGATTTATTAAGTAAAATAGCATAGGTCTTTGCCTTAATGGTTAAAGTGAAGGATTAACACCACACCTGTTGTGACAAGAGGTTACTTTTATCCACTCTAACCACTAAGCCATACACTAAAAAGTTAGATTTAAATCCACCTTTATTGTATATATCTATGTGCCAGCATTTAACATAAAAAGGCCACTAGTAGGGCCAGGGGAGGCCGGGCCTCCACCAGCCCTCCCTTGGCTCCGCCCTTGCACCAAAAGTTGAAAAAATCCACTCACTGCATGTATCTTTTTCAATTTTTTTAAAAAATAAAAAATTGAACAATGCAAAGCATTTCAATGGCACTTGCAATGGTAACATGATTCTTTTTGTCAAACAATAGTAATTAAAGCGGAATAGAACATACACTTGGTTACAGACCTAATGACACTTCTTGGAGACCGCAACAATGAGAAATAATTAGAACATATACTTGGTTACAGACATGTAGTTTTACTTACAACCAAGTTTGTTTTATTATGTTTCTTGTAAAAAAAGCACAAACTCATTGAATAAAAGCACATAACATTTGATTTAAAGCACAAAAATTACGAGTATTATATATATAGAAGTACATTAATAATAAATGATGCACAGAGACAACAATTGGAAACAAAAAATAGTACGGAGTAGTACTATAAAAAACATAAACATCATTATTATAAGGATCATGCTAATGAGCTGTCGAGGCGTTGAATAAATATTTCCTAAAATGGTATTAATTTAGGAGTGCATGCCAAAATCACTCGTTGATCGGTATAGTTAATATTCATTTTAATTTGATAATTCTACTTTTATTTATTTTATCCCATGCTTTCGAAACATTCGTTAGCTTTTGTGGATTCGTTATTTGATAATTCTACTTTGCTACTAGCTGTTAGGCTCGCTCGAAGATTTGGTTTCAAGAAGGTGATCTTAGAATCAGATAATCTATCTCTCATTTCTAAGCTTTCGAAAGCTGCCATCCACTTGACTGAGTTGGACTCTTTATTGGAAGATATTTTCTCTATCACCTCTTCTTTTGGGGATTTGTTAAACATCGCCCACAAATTACTACATAAAGCCCACAAAATTCACTTGGTTTCCCAAAATTGCCCCTGACCTTAAAAAAAAAAACACTCACACTCTCATCACTCACACTCTCATTGCTCATCTTCTTTCAACCTCTCTAAAAAAAAAAAATTCAAAATAACGGCAATGTCGAGGCGGCAAGGCAAGGAAGTGGCGGCGGCGGCGGAGGGAAGGATGTCCCAAGGTGGAAAGGTATATTTTGTTTAAAAAAAAAAAAAGGGGAAAACCGCCGTGAACGCGGTGGGGCGCCCTAGCTGGACGCCCAGCCGGCGGTGGTGGCGCCAGATGCAGACGCCGCCACCAGTTGGCTGGCGCCTGGGCTGGACGCCACCGCCACGGTTGTGGCGTTTAGTCTAAGCGCCGCAACCGTGGCAGTGGCGTCCAGCCCAAACGCCAGCCAACTGGTGGCGGCGTCTGCATCTGGCGCCACCACCGCCGGCTGGGCGTCCAGCCAGGGCGCCCCCCCCATTTTTTTTTTTTTTTTTTTAATTTTTTTAAAAAATTGTTTTTAATTTTTTTTTTTTTTTTTTTTTTTTGTAATATAATTTTGAATTGTTTTTATATTTTGTTGTTTATTTTTATAAATTTTTTCAATTTCGTTGTATTTTTTCTACGTTTATATTTTGTTTACTATTATTTGTTTGTTTTTAGTGTATTTGATTTGCGATGATGATTATTTATCGTATAAATTTTTGTATGTTTATATATTTTAAAATTTTGTGTAGGGTCGTCATGGTGGGGGAAGAATATAGAGCTTCTTAGTAGAAGTTATTCAGTGGAGAGGTCGGGGCATAGACATGTCACATCCCGTGGTATTTCGGCCTCAGTTCGTAGAGAACGGGTCCACCGTCGGGATGAGGATGACGATGACGATGATGATGCTGAGGAGGGTGACCAGGAGGAGGAGCAGGAGGAGGGCGCAGATGAGGATGAGGATGTGGACGATGGCAGTGGACCGTATGATGATTACGGTCCATTCAGTCAGAGGGTTGATGACATGTACGAGACGCATATGGTGGAGGTGCGTAAGGGTAGGGGTGGTAGGTTTGTTAGTAGATCTGGCACATCATCTGCGTCCACTGTCTCTGGGGCAAGCAGGAAACGGTCGAAGGCGGGTAATGATTCTTGGGTTGTTAGGAGTGAGGTGCCCGGTGGGCCTGTTGACGGGAGTGTGATTCCTAGCTTTCTAGGACACATAGCTGCCCGTATTTGGGAGGACCAGGAGAGGCCTTCAGTTACGGGGTTGTTGAAATGTCATACCCGGGAAAAGACTTGTAGTTTTTTGCGTACATGGGCTGAGGCCTGGCCGGCGGAGAGCGAGATGTTCGAGCGACTGGAGGGCACTGGGGTGAAGCACGTTCCTGCCACCATGCACGATAAGATTGACAGTACGATAAGAAACTCTCTCTTGAGAAGGACAGCATGAGTGCAACAGGGAGAGCTGTTGTTGATAGTCTGGAACAGACCCTTGCGCAGTGGGAGTCGTCGTCGAGGAGGGATTACTGATGGTTATTGTATTTTATTTATAGAGCATTATGTTGGACATTATGTTGTAAAATTGTAACATTTTAGATTGTTCTTTTAGCTTCCAACTTAAACATATTATCAGTGCTGTTTTTAAATTTTGATATAACCGTTCGTGGATCCGCGCAACTTACCCATGCAACATATAGAATGCAGTAAGCAATACAATATAAAATATTAATGTTCTCATTAAAAGAGCAACGTACAAATAAGATTACAAATAAAGAATGTAAACAAGAAAAACTAAAATGCAGCTAGGGTGTTCCATTCGTGGATCCGGTCATTATATAGCGCATCCCAACCCTCTACGCTCGCTGTGCGAATGTTGTACCACCGAGGTATAATCGGTGGCACCGGAAAATCGGTTGACATGTCTAGTCGGATGAAATGTCTGTATGACGACCCAAGAAACGCAATAGCTAGCTCTCTGACCGGTGTGGTGACAGTATCACGCGACCGCCAAGGGAGAACCGTGGTACAAGGATAATAAGCTTGACTATGCACTCCCAGGCCGAAATGCATGACTGCGCATTTGTAAATGTTTGCAACGGCAAACAGATCTAGGGGCGCGTCAAAATAATGATTTTCGCCGCAAGGTCCACCTCCCCACCGGATACGCCGGAGAGCGCCATCCAAGTCATCCTGGTACACATGACGATAAACATTTCGGTTAGAGGCAATTTCGCTGTACATCAACTCACGCACCAAACCGTAGTTCTCTTCGCCCATTTGAAAAACATCAGCCACGACCCGGAATCCGCAGTTACCATCTCCGATTACATCCCTGATGATTGCATGACCAATCAGAAAGTTCTGGTTCGTTGGAGCCATCCCAACCATCTCAACCAGAGGGAACTTGTACTTGTTTGTCTTGTACGTTGAGTCGATCAAAATCACAAATGGCCAAGACTTGATCATATCAGCACAATCAGGATGCACAAGGAAAAGATGAGCCACCTCTGCTGTATCTTCATCAGAATCAAACCAGAACAGGTAACCACGTGATTGTGCCTGGTGTAGCAGCTGCTGTATAGGGTTCCTTCCCTCTGACCGTTCAAACCTGAGTTGCTGTCTGACGTTGTAGATGTGTCTTCGGTTTGGATGGTCTTCTGGAAATTTCTCTAACACAGATGCTAATATTTTAGCAGGCTTCACTTGAGCATCACTCATTTCTTTCACAACTAGTTTCACAGCAGGACTTAAGCCGCTCAGTTGTCGATGACCCTCTTCATATACTATCATCTCATGGTTGTGATACCCCCATTTAGAGTAACCTATCACTTCCCAACCGTCACGACTCCGTAGTTGTCGAACCTTTACTCTGAACTCACACCCACAACCTTTCCGCTTTGTGTCAAACCGAGTGGCTGTACGAAAATCTCTTTCTTCTCTTTTGCGATAACGGTCACATCTCAAAATGCGATCCATTCTACCATCCCGTTGAGATTTATGAGTTGCTACTACCAAGCAAAATCCAGCTGCAATTGCAACCTGTTTTGCCCAATCAATCGCCTGTTGAGCTTCTTCGAATGGACCATCATGTCCAAATATCTCACTGTAATCATTTCCGTCTCCACCATATTCCTGCATCAATTATATATTACAATAAATACATTTAACGGATAATACATTTAATTTCTATATTTCCACATAATTAACACAAAAAAAAACATAATTATATATAATCAAACTTAATTTTTATAAAAACCCAATTCGAATTTTCAAACTAAATTTAAAAATATACCATTTCGAATTTTCAAATTTAATTTTAAAAAAACCTATTTCGAATTTTCAAATTTAATTTACAAAAAACCCATTTCGAATTTTTTTAAAAAATCATTTTCGATTTTTTATTTTCACAAAAAAATTAAATAAAAAACAACAACAAAATCAAAAAGGAAAAAATAAAATTTAATTATTAAAGGTGGTGTCTGCCAGGGCTGCCACACCCACTGGACTGGCGCCTGGCAGGGCCGCCTCACCCAGTGGAGTGGCGTTTGCCCAGGACGCCAGTCTGGTGGTCTGGGCGTCTGGGCTGGACGCCACTCTGGTGGTCTGGGCGTCTAGCCTGGACGCCACTCTGGTGGTTCTGGCGTCCGGCTTGGACGTCCAGGCTACGGTTTGGGCGTCCACCCTAGGCGCCGTAGCCACTACGACGGTAAACCGTGAATTTTAGCGGTCACTTACCTCGTTTTCCGTCGACGACGAGGTACCTCCGGCGTCCCCCGCATCTCCGGCCTGCCATCCGGTCTCCCCCGACGAGCCAATACGGCTCCACATTTTTTACACCGAGATTATCTCAATTTTAGCAAAAGGGCATAATGGTCAAATCATAACATATTTGTGGGCTTTATATGGTAATTTGTGGGCGATGTTTAGCGTTTCACTTCTTTTGACCTTGTGATTTGGAATTATGTAAAAATGGATGGTAATTTTGTTGTACATCACCTTGCTAAGTTAATTTCGTTTGGTGTGGAGCAAGTGTGGGTTAACTATTGTCAGGTTAATCCGTATGTTTTGTCGGATGTTTAATCCCTTGATTAATTAATATAATGTTCAGTTGGTTTAAAAAAAATTAAAAATAAATAAAAATAAAGTGGATTGCTAAACATTTATAAAAATAAATAATAATAATAATAATAATAATAATAATAATGATAATAATAATAAGACTTACCGTTGTGTTCTTTGCTATCGATTGGGTGTTCCATTGTTCTCCGTTTCAACACCGTGTTCTACTTGCTCAAGGGTTTTTGATGGAGATATTTATGGGGATCATGCAGTATCTTGTGCTGGGATAGTAGGTATTAAACATCGGCACAACGTTGTTTGTGACACCCTTGTTGATATTTGTTTTCGGTCTGGGATTTCTGCTCGAAAGGAGGTCAACGTTGGGTTGACTGGTGGGAACGAGGGGGCGCTACGACCAGCATATATGTTGCTTTATTCCTGGGATAGAGGACGTGATGTATGTGTCGACTTGACAGGGTCTTCACCTTTGACACATTCGGGGTTGTCTAACTTCGTTCCTGGTCGTGTTGTGTCGGCGGCGGCTCAGCGGAAGCGGGACAAGTATGGGGCACGTTGCAGGGCTAATGGCTATGGTTTTCTTCCTTTCTCCTTTTCTTCATTAGGGGAATTAGACAAGGATGCTATTGCATTGCTGAAGCGGGTTCAGGCGTTCGCTAAGACTCAGGATATTGGTGCTCGTGCAGCTGCTCACATCTTTAGTAGGATCGGGTTCGCTATAGCTAGAGGGGTGGGAGCCCAGATTGTATCTCGGTTCCTTACCAATTTCTTGTAAATTGATTGAATTTGTAGGTTTTTTAATTTTGTAATAATAATAATAATAATAAGTATTACCGGTGCATGATAAAAGCAAAATACGATGTTGTTTAACTTAACTCTTGTCTGCTTGTCAACAACTCAATCACTTTCTCAGTTGTAATATCTAAACATCAAACTCAATCACTTCCCTAACATTCAGAAGAAAAAAAAAACATGGCTAATTATTCCCAAATTCAACCATTAACAAAAACTCCAAATTCACTGCAAAATCTGAAGCACAATTCCAGAAATCTCTCATTTTTATCATCTCAAACTATTGCTGTCAAATTTCGCAATCCCAATTACTCAAACATCACTAATTCACCTTTTTCCACCACAATTTCCGCCATTTCCACTGCTCACCAATCTAGGGTTCCTCCCGCACTTCCATTGCCACCTCCTCCGATCACCAAGGTCACTTATTCTCTCTCTCTCTCTCTCTTTCGAATATTATCAATTAATCTATTTTTTTTTAAGAATTGTGGTTTGATTAATCATTAATTTATACTTGTAATTTTGTTTTGTTTTTCTTGCATTGTTCAATTTTTAATTTAGATGTAATGATGACTTCTTTATGTTGTGATTAGGGTTTGGAGTTGGCAATTTATTTATTATTTCAACTCTTAAATTCTACATTTTTTTGGGTAACATTTTAAATTTAATACATTGATGTTCTACATTTTCATTGCGAAAGGATAGCAATATTTAGCTGGTGTTGAGCTACTTGATTAGCTTGGTGTGGTTCTTTTATGAGTTGAAAGTAATCATGCTTTTAGATTCATTGCTACTCGGTTAGATTGGTGTGATTCTTATGCGAGTTGAAAGTAATCGTGCTTTTTAATTCAGTATTAGTCCATTGTTTGGTGTGGTTCTTATGCTATCCTTGTAACTCATTAAATAGTTAGATATACTATTTTCCCTTGAACTTGATATTGTTGCTGTTGGATGTTATAAGGAAAGGTTTTTTTTTTTTTTTTTTTTTTTATTAATCCTCTTAGTAGTTGAAGACTAAAACAAATAAAACAGTACAAAGATAATTCTGTTGAGAATAAGGGATCGTCAATAGTACTATACGACTCATTAGTAGTACCTTTGATATTGTTAGTATTACCATTGAGGTCTTTAGTATTACCATTTATGAGTAAGTCGTTAGTAGTACCACTTAGGTATGAATTTGTTTAAAAACTAGTTGTTTGAGATTAGGGTATTATATTACCTTTTATCCTCGAGGTCAATATCAGGGATAGTTTGGTAATCTAACAATGGCATATAATGGGTTGATTTGTCAACGATTGTGTTTATGCTATTTAAGGACTTTTGTAATCCTTATTAGCCCATGAATAATATCTTGAGAAGCCTGTCCATTATTTGGTTTGTCCTTAGGGACGAAAGGTGATATAGCTTGAGCCAAGCGTGGTTTTATGATGGTTAAACTAATCAAAATTTGAAGTTCATCAACAGCTAATTGAATGAAGCTAAAGTAAGATGGGGTTTTATGTAGTGGCTCAAAGTAGCACAAATATTTTGTTGTACGTTGTCCTTGAAAATTCCTACGGAGTAGTTTATAACTTTGCAATGGCCAGTGCTAAGGTGCATAGACATTATACCTCTTGAGCAACTTCCAAAACCCATCCAATGAAATGGTCACTCTCCATGTACCTATTAGTGTCTTTTCTTTTTCTTTCGGGTTTCTATAATTGGAGACATTCAGACCTCTAAGTTTGGCCTGATAAACAATTTTTCTTTCTAGTTAATTTTTGACCCCCTTTCATTGGTGTTGATATTCAAGGCATCTTGTATCAATCATTTTATTTTTTTTTATTTTTTATTTTATTTTATAGTATTTTATATTTTGTTTTGGTGGCATTTTGGCACTATTTACTGTGTTCTTGAATCACTATTTCCATGTGTGCAGTTCAAGATTGCTCTTTGCCAATTGTCAGTTACATCTGACAAATTGAGGAATATATCACATGCTCGTGAAGCAATTGAGGAGGCTGCAAACAAGGGTGCTCAGCTTGTTCTTCTGCCTGTAAGCATACATGTTATAATTGCCTAATTGGGTACTTGGGTTTGGATGGTTGGTCTTGTTATTGTATTTTTTTTCTCTTTTAATGGGTCTTAGTTTCCTTGACAACCATGCATGGGATTGTCATTTTATGGAGCTGTTTCTATGTTGTCTTTGTGTGAGTGCATATTTGCTTTAGTCATGTTGTTCACTTATCCAAGTAGTAGTATAATTGGAGTCTTGATTATGTATTAGTTGGCTAAGTTATGGTTTTTGTCTAGTTCTATACTTCTATGTATTAATAATAGTAAAACTGTAAAAGGATTATCTCCCTTGCAACATAATCTATGTAATTTGGTAAGGTTTTCAGTATGCTTGGGTTGGACTTGCATACCTTATGCTTAATTGTTTGTGAATGTAGTTTAGGGTGAAATCTGGTGAGGTTTTCAGTATGCTTGTCTTGGACTTGCATAATTTTGATTATGCTTGATTGTTTGTGGGTGCAGTTATGGGCGATATCGTCCTGATGCTTATTAGACTCTCGTCTATTAAAATTTACGTGGATAATTTTATAAAACACGTTTTGCTTTCTTTATGCAATCATCTCAGGAAATATGGAACAGTCCCTATTCAAATGACAGCTTTCCAGTTTATGCCGAAGATATTGAATTAGGTGGTGATGCATCTCCCTCCGCAGCAATGCTTTCTGAAGTTTCGAGAAACCTTAAAATTACGATAGTTGGTGGTTCCATACCAGAGAGAAGAGGTGATCGGCTTTATAATACATGCTGTATTTTTGGGACTGATGGGAAGCTAAAAGCTAAACACAGGAAGGCATGTGTCTAATCTACTGTAGGTGTGGAGACTCTCTTTGCATTGTACTATATGATGGTTTTTATATTAGGTTTCCTAACATCACTGTGATCACTTTTGCAGATACATCTTTTTGACATTGACATTCCAGGGAAGATGACTTTTAAAGAATCAAAGACACTTACCGCTGGAGAGAATCCTACCATAGTTGACACAGGTTTCTGTCTTTTTTGTTCTTCGATGACTAGGCCATCTAGATATTTATTGCTCTTTAGTTGCTTGTAAAATATTGGGGTTGTTGATAGCTGGGCATAGTAATATGATCAAGAAAATTTTCTTGTAAATTCAGTAATGTGATCAACCCTTTTCATTGTAAAATTTATTTTCCCCTTCACTATATTGTTTTTTTTTTTTTTTTTTAAATTTATTTATTTATTTATTTATTTACTTTGAAGGTAATGGTCTATCAAGATTTGGACATCCCTTTTCCTCTTATTTTTAGTTCCCTTCACATTTTGGTTCCTTTTAATGTTTTTGGGACAGCTTTTGTGAATTTATTCATTTACTACTGATTCAAGTCTAGTGTATTTTTCTTCAAAGGGCCGGTTTTTCATTGTCAATTTTCTTAATAAAACTATTTTCTGGAATTGCTCAAATCAATAATAGTTTTCTGTGTGAGTATTGCTTTAGGAGTCAGATTTTTCTGCTAGATCACTGTGGTTGCAGATGATTTGGGTTCTTTCACCATGTTTTCTTATCATAATATAGCATCACTCTGTGTATGCAAAATGCTGAAATTCCATATGACTTCTGAATACACTCATGCTTGATGCGTTATAGCCTTTTAGGAAATTCAATTTGTCAAAAGCTTCAATTTGAAATACTCTGAATTCATGAATCTACTTTGTTTAAAGACACTCGTGTATCTTTTCCTTTCAAGCCACGTCTTCCAGAGTCTTAAGACAGATAATTGGGTTTTCTGAATACCTCTTACTTGCTATGTTAGTTTAATACTGCATTGTTGTTCTACGTATATCTGTTGATTTAAAGAAGTCAACCCCCTGCGGGCACACACACACACAAATAAACAGAGACTTTAGTATGGCTAAGGACTGCTTCATGTCATAAACTATTAGAGGTGCTTGGTATACTTTTGTTATGATTGATCAATGATTTAGTAGAATACTAATAATAGTCCGATCTTATATGTGAAAGAAATTACTTGTAATCCACTTTTTGGTTCTTTGTTAATGTTTTGTTTTAGGCTGATAAGTAAATTTTCTGTACAGATGTTGGGCGCATCGGCATTGGTATCTGTTATGATATCCGCTTTCAAGAATTAGCGGCAATTTATGCAGCAAGAGGTTTGTTTTTACTTTTGTTTTATCATTTGTTAATTCTTAATGTGTATAAAACTTATCAAAGAATGTAATGGAACTTTAGCTTTTGAAAAATCATGATTTTTGGGAAGTCCAAATAATATTCAGTATATATAAATGTATAACGGAGTATTCCTTAGAATTTTCAATTTTTTAATTGGGGATTCCAGTGAGTGCAGTCATCTTTTTTAATGCCATTGCAAGTTAGCAATGTGCAGCTTAGAAGGATTTTGTGTAGTATTTGTGGGGATCAGTGTGACTGGGTAGCCTTTAGATGTAATCAATGGAGAGAAGCGCCAGAATATTTCGTAATACAAGCACTAATAAGAAGCTTATGGTACATTATTTTATACCTTGCAACATTTAACTGCCCGTCAATTTTTTTTAGGATTTCATGAAGTGTTTGTGGGGATTCCTTGGTGCGAGTTAGCAGTGTGCACTTTGTAAGGATGTAATGAAGTGTTTTTGCGGATCATTATGATTGGGTATCCTTTAGGTATAATTAATTAAGAGAAGCCAGAACATTTTGTAATATGAGCACTAGCTAAGAAGCTTATGGGATAACTTTTTTTCTACCTTGCATTATTTTACTGTCATTAAATGTTTCTCTTTAGAGGATTCCTTGGCAGCTTGACGTCTCTTGATGTTGTTTTTACTCCTACTATAATAGAATAAACAAAAACGGTGTCCATCATACTTACCTGGTTTCTTTTAAAATTATTTGGTGTCTCTTGTTTGTCACACTCGCGCATGCCACATCTGTTGAGCATGGACTTTTGGACTTCTGGTATTATTGTTTTTTGGTACTTTATTGATTTCTCATTTCTGCTCTTGTATTGTTGAAAAATCCCCTTATTGGTAGAGTGTAAATTGTATGTTAGGTTTGCTCTCTAGACTTTGATTATAATGGTGAGTTTGTTTTACTGGATGTTAGGTGCTCATTTGCTCTGCTATCCTGGAGCATTTAATATGACCACTGGTCCATTACATTGGGAACTTCTACAGAGAGCTAGGTAAGAGGTTTAATGCTTTTAGTTGAATCAATTTTCTCTACCTTTGGAAAACGGAAACTACCAGACTCACCCAGCAGGACTAAACCTTCATCTTTGCTATGCTTCTTTTGACAGAATTTGGCAATGTACAGCTAAAATCTATTGCTTCTCAGTTGAACCTAGGGCTCGTTCACTCTGTAAATGTTGCTGTCGTGCTGAGTCTGCAGGAGTATTAGTGTTTGCAAATTCACAAAGATCTATGAGCAGGCAATTAGGCATGCTGCATTTTCTGTCGAACTATGACAATGCTTTCCCTTGTAGGATTTCAAGAATTGCCAAATATAGGGAGACTGGGAGAGTGATATAAATAAATAAATAAATAAATAAAAAGAATAAGTAGAGAAGCTATTTTACAGCAATCTGTTTTATGTGTTTGATCTGGAGAGTGGATACTATTATTTGTGCCATTATAATACGACAAGACTAGAATGAAATGATGATGTGGGGAAGGTGCTGAATATAATTAGTTGGGGTCTAGGAGGAAGGGTCTGGCACAATTTTATTTTTTATTTTTTATTTATTTATTTATTTATTTTATTTATAGATTTTCCTTCCACAATTTTCTTCCCTACCTCAACCCTTGCCTCTACCCCCATAATAAACAAAAATAAGAAAAATGAAGGGATTACTGGTTTAGGATGAGGTGTGGCTTCTGGAGGAGCTCTCTATGAAATTAAGTTGCCATCAAGTTTCGGTATTATTATATAGGGTGAACATATTGTAACTAGTATTAAACAATGTCACGATGATGTTCCCGTCTTGTATAATTACGTCTTTACTCAATTCCATAAATTGATGATAAAATATCATCATCTCAGAACATAGTTAATACATCTTGAAAATTGGCTGAAATTGTTTTGAAACTATACATATCAAAGTGTATGTATTTCACCTTGAAAAAAAGTGTATTTTGCATTTTAGGACAAGGATTATACTGTATTTCTGTACCTCAAAGTGAAGTTCCTGTTTCTAATGAACTCCTTTTATATTTTTTTATCCGTGGATTATGCAGGGCAGCAGATAATCAGGTACTCCACTGACCTTGTTTATTGTGAAGTATTCCCATTGGATATTACATGATGAAGTCTGTATATGACACTACATTATGACTACCGTGTTATAGCGATTTGCTGGTGAAGGGGATGTATGATAATACATTATTACTACCATGTTATAGTGAAGGTGGTTCTTATTGTAATTTTTAACCAAGTTTAATGAACTAGACATTTAAAATTTGAATAAACTTGCTCAATCTTAGGGCTTCACAATTAGAGGGCCTGTATTTTCTACATGTTTCATGTTATTGTGAAAGTGTCTATGTATCTTCTTTATATTAGCTACAAGTCATGAATTCATGATGTTATTGCCTGCATTTGAGAACTTAATAGTCAGGTAGATGACGTTCTATATATTTCTCTTCAGTTGTATGTAGCAACGTGTGCACCAGCTCGTGATACTGAGTCAGGGTATGTGGCATGGGGACACTCTACCTTGGTTGGACCTGTAAGTTTGTTGTCTCTGTACGTCATCTTCAAGTTTTAGGCTATTACTTGATTAGGAAAGTTGTGAAACCTAGGCAAATGAATAATTTATGCAAGTCATTTTCTTATGGCAGTTCGGGGAAGTGCTTGCGACAACCGATCATGATGAGACAACTCTTATAGCAGAAATCGACTACTCACTGGTTGAGCAAAGAAGGTGACATTTTCTGTACTTTATGATACTATATGTTAGTTCTTTTTTATTGTATTTTATTTTTTAATTTTATTTTTAACTGTCATTTTAAGAAGGATCCATCGGTCCACATTCTTTTATTTAAATGTTCTAAGAAGAAAATTTGGAGCTGTTTTCTCAGTCTGAAGGTTTTGTTTAAATCCGATCCAAGCATTATATTCTGTTTACCAAATTCTCGTATGAAATGGAATCTGCAGGGCATACCTACCCATCATCAACCAAAGGAGAGGTGACTTATATCAATTAGTTGATGTTCAGAGGCTGCACGCTGAGTCTACCAAGTAACAGCACAGAACCAGCTTACCGTCATCAGCAATAATCAATCTTTAGCAATTCGTGCGTGGTGTCAACTCTGATACAGCACATTCAAAGAGCCCATCTCTTAATGTTTTCTAATTATGATGAGTAGATAAGGTTTTGTTGGTGAGATGACCATCCCAGTTCCCTCAAGATTTTGATTTCCTTCCTCTTGTGAAGAATGATAGCATAATATATTTATTTTGTAATTTATTTTCTACGTACTCATGACTCGACGAATTTGGAATCTAGCAGTATGGTACAACTCATTAATACAGAAAATTTGCTCATCAGTGCCAGTATATTCTAATAATAGTAGTGTCATTAGTAGAGTTAACTTGTGGGCTCTAAATGAGCTGTAGTCTATAAATGGATTGTGTTAGTACTGTACTACTGTAATACATTAGTGTTCTTGGCCCATGAGTGTACCTGTTATTAATGGACATTTATTTCAGCTGGTTTAAGGATATTGCTCATTTCAGTACGTTTTTCTTCTTTACAGGTTATGACCTTTTTTTGTTAGCTGTAATAATTTAAATTAACAATACATTTTCAGTAGACCCGACCAGAAAATTACCGTATGAGAGTACTCAGAACCTCCATTCATTTCTCACAGCAATGGATGGAATTATAATCTCGGGTCTTAGGTACCACCTTACCACCACCAAGACATTGCCGAAAGCTAGTTGGCAACCTAGCTCCGAGAACTATACTTGATCATACACTCGTTATACTATATCTTCATTGAAACCATCACGAGGTCTCCATGTCTTGCTTGGATTTGAAATACGGTATAGTTCAAAATTGTATTGATAAGGTATATTTGAGTCCTTTGGTTTTTCAATCATTGCTATTTTGACTCAAACCTATTATAAAAGTTGATGTATCAGTTATCACTAATTAGTTGTTGATAGTAATAATAAAGAAATTAAAATTAAAAAATAAAAAATCACTTTGCCAATGAATTTTTTTTACAACCTTAAATTTATCTTTTTAAACAGTGGCATTTTTTAAGGGCACTTTACTAAGTCAATGAAGCATTTGTAAACAATATATTATCGAATTGACACAAAATTAATAAAAGAGATCATAGAGCTGACAAATTTTTATAGTAACTCAACTCTCATTGTTACCGCTGTTTTTTTTTTTTTTCTATTTTAATTTATCATTTAACAACCTAAATCTATCAATAGTACACATTGTTATTATTTTTAAAAAAAAAATGTGGAAGTAATGTTTTTGTTGACAGGATTAGTTTGTAATTAAGTAGTTAAGTGGGTTGCCATGTGCAACGTGAAAAAGGCAGCTTAAATTACAATCACAACCAAACAATTACTGTAGAAACTTACCTAACATTGGAGTATTGGACCATCCAAATATAGAGCCTAAAGGGTCCGCTAATCACCCCACCCAACCCAATAAAAAACCTTCTTTGTGTGTTGGTTGGGACACTATACAACTAGGGTTTCTTTTGGCAACACGTACTATACAACTAGGCGATCATCGAACTTATACTCGAATTTTTTATAATTAATGTGTATTCCCTAATGAATAGGGAGTGAGTGAATAGTGATAAACATATAAACAGAAAAAGTATTATACGAGCTTAATTAAGGTAGTATAGAAATTATAATTACGTATTCATGTTATAATTTATTTTCAGCTATCAAAATCTCTACTTGTACATAATTAATGTGGGTTCAAATATTGCTGTAAGCCTGTAAATTAATTTTTTAAGAGCTAACACTTGCTTTAACTTCTGAATTTGTGTATAGCAAGGGTTTAGATGAATTATATAGATGTAAAAAAACAATTAAAGGTTTCACATATACATTGGGGGTCTTAAAATTAGAGTGGTATATCCACAATGGCTAGCTCATATACATGTAGCTAAGGGTTGCCATATACTCATATCATTATTTCTCACACTACATGATTTAAGCTACAAATTTTACAATGACAAACTATTTCTTTTGTAATTTTATTATGTCCCACGTGATAATATAAAATACATAAAATATATTAACAAACACATAAAATATATTAAATAAATAAATATAATAGCATTGGACGAAGTGAAAACTACATAACTCTATAGAGCTATGTAAATTGCTTAGCTATAAGAGGTTGTAATTTCACAATGACAAGTATGTAGCTAGCAATTACTTAAAAATTGCTAGCAGCTCCTTGTGCACAACCAATGTGAATGTTCTAAGGAGTAAATATATACTTACACTTGAATGATCGACAAAACATATGTACATTTGTCCATTCATGCACATATACTGATACACACACAATTTAAATTAGACTTGTTTTAATATATGTGATTACAATTCTAAACAAAACTATACAACATAAGACCGTATATGTTCAAACTCATTGTAATCCACCTATACTTGTTCCACTTTATAATGTAGAGGAGTTAGGACCTATTCTCATAGACTGAACTGAGCTGAAATGAACTGAATATTTTATAAGAGAAGGAAATTAGGAGCTGAATTGAAAATAAACGTATGAGAACAGACCCTTACTCCTATTTATCAGTTGGTTTTAGTATGGAATTTCCTTAGCCTTATTTGTGGACCAAACTCTTCTAAATAATCATAATAACTTGATAATCTTAAAATAATAATTGATATAAAGAAGACCACACAAGTCTATTTTTTTCTTCATACGCAATATTGGTGGTATAACTAGAAAACTTAAATAATTGTAAAGATTCTAATGAGGGACTATATAATTAGGATTGTCTTCTCTACTTAAAATGATCTCAAATTAAATGTAGTGAATAATATAGAAGGAGAAGAAATATCCACCATAGATTAGCTCTTGTCTTTTGCATCCTTTTTATTGCAATGTTGCTAGTACAATTATTTCCTCAGTTGAAAATCAGCAAATTTGAAAAAAACAACTTTACATTATTCCATTAAAACATCCAAAAATAAAAAAGCAATACCACTTTGACTGTCAATGATTTAGGTTGATTTTTCCACCAATCAAATAGTCAAGGAATATGAATACTGTATATTTTTTTTTATAAAACAAAATTTGGCTTATTATATGAATATGAACATCCAACAAATTTTCAAGCACATAAACCCAAAATAAAAAAGACAAATAAAAAAATAAAGTATTCCTCACACGTACGTGTAAACAAAGTCACATAAACAAAAGCAAAAAAACAGAGCAATCAAAATAAACAGTAATCTGACTAATAGTAAAAAAAGTTTTAAAAAAAGTTAACCGACCTTATTATTCATTTCACTAGCCTAGCTGTCAGCTTTTTGCTCCCCCCTTTCCACCTTTCTTCTTCCCACCCGCACGCGCGGGAGTTTTCTCTCTCCTCCCGCACAACTATTTACACTATTTTTCCTTTTCTCTTTAAGTACTATCCTCTGTTCATATATACGAACACAGGATAGTACTTACCAATATCTTCCCGTCTTTAAACCCCAATTCTCTCTTATAGACGTCTTCATAACAACTTGCAAATAAAATAACCCGTGATCGTACCCTTACCCTGAAGGGTGCGAGCAAGGGTGTTGGTTCTTAAATTGGGACGAAGGTACAATAAGGTGTTAACAGTGTGTTACACTTATTTTATATGTTCAACTCTTTGATCATATCACATGGTGGTGTTTTTTTTTTTCTCTCACTAATTGCGCCTAAGCCTTTGCAGCTTTTGACATTCTCTTAGCAGACAACTGCTCCAATTCCTTCTTTCACATGCTCTCTTTGTCACTCCTAAATTTGAGTATTTAGCATGAGAATCTCCCATCCTACATTCATCATACTTCACTACTATAGCTAAAATTCTACCAATAACATCTTCATTGTTGTTGTTTTGGTAACAACATTGTTATTGTTATTGTGTGTTACTAAAATGTCTAAATTTGAAACAATTACTATTCCTTTTCATAATACTACCCACAAAAGAAGGGCTAAGAACCCTTCATTTTCTTCCATCCTTCTCGACGCCATTTATCGATCGATCGATGAAGACGACGACCTCCACCATTACCCTCGTACCACCCCTACCTCTCCTACTAGAAGCATTATTACTAAACAAAGTGATTGCAACACTATACAATTATCATCATCGTCTAAACAGCGAAGAACTAAAATGAGAAGCGATAGTACCTTAGAGACGGTCGATCTTCGCCGCGCCATCATGATCGAGTCATGGATGGAGCGGCAACCACCACAACAACCACCGCAACAACCACCGTATCGGAAGCATTTTCATCTTGGTGATGTACTCGATCAAAAAATCAGGATTGTTCGTCAGAAATCTGTCCCAAGTTTACCTAGGGCATCAGATAATTCTTCCACGACTGATTTTTCATCGTCATCTTCGTCGTGTTTTACGAATCTCACTCCTCGATCAACCACCTCGCGCGATCAATCGTCTTCGCGAATCTTCACCAAGACGAAATCGCGCGCGCTGAAGATCTACGGCGATTTGAAGCGTTCGAAACAGCAGAACACTGCTCCGATTTCTCCAGGTAGAAGAATCGCCGCGTTTCTGAATTCTATTTTCAGAAACTCCGGCGGATCTCCAGCGAGAAATTCGCCGGAGATCAAATCACCGCCGCCGACAACGACGGCAATGACGGCGGCGATGGAGACGGCGACGGACTCAACGTGTTCGTCGGCGTCGTCATTCTCAAGATCATGCTTGAGCAATAAAACGACGTCGTCCACAAAATCATCCAAAAGATCAGTGAGATTTTATCCAGTGAGTGTAATAGTAGACGAAGATTCTAGACCGTGCGGTCATAAGTCGTTACAAAAGAATGAAGTTCAAGAGCCGAAGAAGCTCGCATCGCCGCCGAATGAACACGCATTCGGCGGCGAGAGCGACGAGAAGGAAAGGAGACGGAGGAGGGAGAAAGAGATTGATGCGTTAATGATGATGATCAAGACAAATTGCGGGAACATTCAACAACGTCATGTATCGAATTTAAAAGATGGTTTCGTCGACGACGACGAAATGGAGGAGGATGATGACGAAGATGATGATGGAGGTGGAAGTTGTGCGAGTTCGGATCTTTTTGAGTTGGAAAATTTGAGCTCAATTGGTGTAAGTCGGTACTATGAGGAGTTGCCGGTGTATGGTACTACTAGTTTGAAGAACATAACGGCTTAATTATTTTTTTTTAATTATTTTCTTAATTATGGTTTTTTGTTTTTTTTTTTTTTTGTTTGGTTTAATATTAGGATGTGATGTGAATGTAATTATATGGTGCTTGGAAGTTGATTAATCCATTAACTTTGGTTTTAAGTTTACGAGGAAGCACAAATTTACTACGTTAATTAGTTGTAATGCATTTGATTTTGAATGTGGTATGATTGCTAAGCTAGATAGCTAGTAGGGGATAGGCGGATAGCTAGTAGGGGATAGGCGGATAGCTAGTAGGGAATATATGTTCGTCATAAAAAAAAAAGGAATATATGTTCGTCATAAAAAAAAAGGAATATATGTTCGTCATAAAAAAAAAAAAGGAATATATGAGATTAAGGTTTCTAATTATTTTTATAATTATCTTTAATTAATTATGTTTATGTACTCTTGTTGAGTTATTGGCACCCTTATTTATATCCTTTAAAATGAATATTAAGTATATAACACATTGGATTCTTAAGTTAGTTAGTTTTTTTTTTTTTTTTTTTTTTTTTTTTTTTTTTTTTGAACAGAAGTTAGTGTAGATTGTATCTCAGTATTGCATAATCTCTAACATAAGGCTTTAACTTACTTTTTCTATACTTAATTTTATGGAGTATTTTTGTTCTTCAACAAAAAATATGTATAATATGTATTTTTTTATTTTAAGTTTATTTTATTTTAATTTTATGGAGTAAAAAATAAAATTAACTTAAAATAACCTTTACGAGTATTAAAAAGTTAAACTATGGACTAAAAAATCCCTTAATTAACATTAACCTATTGCGAGTCTCCAAAATAAAAAGCTTCACCATTTTTCTATATATATATATATATATATATATATATATATATATATATATATATATATATATATATATATATATATATATATATATATATATATATATAATTTCCTCACCCATAAAAAAGAGGTTAAAATATGCCTACAATTATTTGAATTTATCATATTTTATTGACTTTTACTTAAACCTATTTTTTAGGTGAAAATTTAAACTTAATTTTTGTTTGCCTTTATGGTTTATTCTATTTTTTTTTTTTAATGAAACCTTTCTCTAAACTTATTAACGTATGGTTACTTTCAAAAAAATGTCTAATTATGACTAGTAGGTGAGCTTGCAAGTACAACATAACATAAAGGATCAATATTACAAACAAGCCCTAAGTCTTTCATTAATTATATATAATGAAACAAACGGACACTAAATTTTTCATTAATGGTGTAATCACGTGTCATATTCTAATTGAGAGTACGTGGTGATTCTCAAAGAAATATATTTATTTCGTGAGAGAAAATTTATGATGGCTTGCTTAACGAACTAGGTATGAAGTTGCTTATGCTACTTTGCTGCTTAAGGGGCGTAGTGTAGCTTCAAAGTCCGATTCTATATTTCTTGTTGTATACGCAGTATATTCTAGCTTTTTACACTTTACAACTTTTGATTTGCTTAACATTAATTCAATTGGGGTAGTTGTTGGATTCAATTGAGTTTATATTTTATTACGCTTGATTTCGTCGGTCCTTTAACATGGTATCAGGACCAACTTGACAAAAATTCATAGATATGGGCTCTCATTTGTCAAGGCATGATAGAATATACAAAGTAAAAATTAATCATGGGATTCAACCACCATTAGTTTAATGTTTTGTTTGAATTGGTTCTTTAATACTACGTATTTAATAATAAGTTTCCAAACTTCAATTAAATTAGTGACAAATCAATTTACAATTTGTTATAAAAACCTTTACGTAACTTCAAAAACTATATAAACAATCACCTTTATTTCAAAATTGAACTTTCATCCCTAAATCTACATGTTTTGCTATGATAAAGTGTAGGTACTATATATATATATATATATATATATAGGGGAGGGATCCGGTGAGAATAAGTTCATATGTGAGAATTCATACTTATATGAGAATTGATTTTAAATTTAGAACATGTGAGTAAAAGTTTAGAACATACGAATAAAAATTTAGAACATGTGTCTGAAATTAAAATTTAGAACATCTGAGTAATAATTTAGAACATCTATGTGAGTAATATGTTTAGAACATTTGATTTAAGAATTAGAACAAGTGATTAAAAATTTATAAAATATGCTTTATGAAATTTTAAACATATGAGTAAAATTTAGAACATCTAATTTAAGATTATGTGAATAAAAATTTAGAACAAACTGATATAGAATATAAAAAGTGTGAGTAAAAAATTTAGAACATATGAGTAAAAAAATAGAACATATGCTTTAAAATCTGGAACATATAATTAAAAATCTTAGAACACACATTTTAAAATTTAGAACAAGTTAAAATTTTGGAACAAGTTATTTAAAATTTATGATATTAAACTTAACTAATTTATGGTTTAGAACATGTGAGTACTAAATTAGAACATTTGATTTAATTTAGAACACCTAAGAAAAAGTTTAGAATATTAGATTTAAAATTTAGAACATACGAGTAAAAATTTAGAACATAAAGAGTGTTCTCACATAAGAAAAATTCTCACGAGTCCCCCCCCCCCCTATATATATATATATATATATATATATATTACACCGAAATAAAAGTACACTAGTAATCAAACAAGTCTTTCATGTAAAAGGACTTTGTTTGAGGACAACGAGATAGTTCATGTAAGACACATAAAATAGTATGAAAGGAGCACACAATTTGGGACCAATGCAATACAAGTTTCCTAGTTGAATGGTGGCCTAAACAATTACTACTAGTTTAGTTCCACGCTACAAATCATATAAAGTGCAAACGGCTAACCAATATTATTTTACATAAATAATTTTTAAAAAAATGAATAAAATGAGAATAATTGTAAAAAGTTAATTATAAAGTAAGAAGCTTTTTGACAAATCTAGCAGAAAAGGAAGGGGGGAGAACTACCAAATTGATGATTACACTAAAGTTGATTGCACACGCGAAAACGACGGGTTTAGTGATAATGTAATGGCAAAATTGATCGTTTTGAAGAGGTGTTAGATTGTGAGAACATTATTGTGCTTCATAACCACATTTGCCCCAAATCATTATAATTGACCCCATCAACGAAACTTCATACTAACTTATTGATTATAGTTTGTACTCTCTTACAATTCTACCACCACATGCAACATAGTTATATTTAGATTCTTTGCTAGGTTGTTTTGGATTTTAATATGGATTATCTATCTTTTTTTATTTTCTATTCCATGAGTTTGTTACACCGTACATAATTTGTTATGTTTTTATCGGATATGTTTATAAAGTTATGTTATTGGAGTAGTTTATTTATTTGTTTGAAATTAGATGTCAGTATATCACAGTATCACTTTAACTTACTTTATTAATGAGTTATTGAATTTAGATGGGTATGGAGGAAATAAACAAGCTTATAAGAAATGTTATGAATGCTATATGATGTTATGATCCAAGGTTCAACGCGACGTTGTTAAATCACTTCCCTTCAATATTACCGTACATGTCAACATCGAGTGAGGCTACCAAAATGGCTATTGATGTAACGATGGTTTGTATTGGCGAGGGGTCCAAGTAAGTTCCAAGGCTTTGAAGATAGATGGAATTGTTTTTGCAATATGCAATATGCAATATTGTACATATTTTTTTAAAAAAAGTAGGATGAAAAACCTTACAGAATTGACAGCTCTCACAGGTTAAGTCAACTCAGTTCTGCAAGTCAACGCTTGAGAGTAAAGGGGGGAGGTAAAGGAATCCTCTTACATCTAAACAAATATAGTTGGTGGGGCTCAAAATCGTGACCTCAAACTCACAAGTAAACAAGGAATCTTAAAAGTCATCACTACACATAATTATTTCCAGTGATTACTAAACTCATTTTTAAAATTCTATTACTTAAATCAACAATGCCGGGGCTAAAATTGCAAATTATTTATGGGGTCCTGTTCAACTTTTTAAAATGGGGTCTTAAATTTGAAAGAGTAAATAAAATTTATATATAGGAAAAATTGGGAGATTAACAACGGTTTAATAATTAATTTCATCTTCAAATTGAAGATTTAACTGTTGAAATATGAACTAATATTGGGAAAATTAATTTTGGGAGATGAAAATTTTGAAAATTAATTGAATAATTGTAGAAAATGAAGAAGATAAAAAAAGAAAGTAAATGAAAAATATAAAGTTTAGAAGATGTAGAGTTTTTTTTGGAATTGAAATAATAGATTGAAATTTTTTGGGGAAAAACCGAAAAAGGAAATCAGATTTTTTTGGGCGGAGTTTCTGAGACTATTGAATACATGTCTACATTCAATGTATCAAGCCAGCTGTCAGCTACCCAAAAATTTAGAAAATTGATTGATGCATGTCTTGAACCCAAGACCTTGGATACACAAGACAATTGCTCTAACCACTACACCAACTACAATTTTAAGATATTATGCCAAACTTAATTGTATATATCCAAATTATGGGGCCCTCAAATTTGGGGGCCCTGTTCCGTCGACCACCTTGCTCCGGCCCAGAACCGCCACTGTAAATCAATATAACCTTCTAACCTAAGTTATCACGGTACATCTCCTTGCAACCATAAAAGTATTAGCAAATTTATTAGCATTAGGTGCTTAAACTTAATGGACCTTGAGCACTTTACACAATTACATTACCTATAGAAACTCCATTCTTCTAAACTTATTTTGATGTTGATTGAAAAAAAAAAAAAATTATTAAGTTGAAGTAGTTAATTGATGTAACAGTTTACAGTACTAGGGCATAACTTGATCATGTGTAATTTTCTTTTATTTCCAACGATTGATCTGCTATCCAATAACTAAAAATTCAGGAGAAAGGTTAAGCCAGTAATCTTGTGTAATTCTCACGATGAGCTTCACACAATTAACCAATATTGTCCAATAATACTAGTGATATTACATGGCACATACATTTTCAAATGCAGCAAATATGGATTAGAATTCGAAGCGGACTTACAATAATTTATGATCGGAAATTATAAAAAGGTAGTTAAGTCCTTATTATACAAGAATTCTCCACTGTAAGAAGGCGCCAATAATTGTATTGTAGGATACTAGTGTAATTAGCATGGCAATAAGTAAGTACGTATAATTATTGCTTTAAGTGAGCCATGGGCTTTAGCTAATACGAAGTACGAGTATATATTAGGCTGGTATATACTCCCTCGGTCATTTTTTGATTGCTCTAGACATGGTCCACTTATTTGTGAGAGCTTTATGACTTATTATATGGGGCAAAAATAAGGAATAAAAGGAGTATATGCCTAATCTCTAGCTTGTACAATGCAAATCATTCACCCTAAAACTTGACATGGTAGCGGAGCCAAACAATCTAGCAAATTCCACCATTAAAATCTTTTGTATTTATATTCCTTTACTTTTTTCGATTTTCTCCACCAAACCCTAACCCCCACTATGATCATCATGCCAACTCATCCCCAACATAT